TATGAGGTTATGTGATATCTTCCACTCAGATAGATCATTTTCTCTTCACCAATTTTTAGAAAATCTTTGCAACTTTTAAGGCACCACTTCTAAAACATCAGTAATACGCTGCCTGGATATTCGAACCCGGTTATAATAGACGTTATAATAGGTTATTAACTAATAATTTGTCAAGCTGAGAAAGAGTCAGTTTTTTTACATCGAGCAACCTTTGTGTATTTCAATTTTCCCATTCGTGCTAGATGTCTTCCGACTATTGAAGAGACTACCTTAAATTCTGTCTTTAACGACCGGATGTTTGTTTCTGGACGAGGCTTCACAGCTGCTCTCGTTTCTTCATTGTTAAGCGCGACTACGAACAGATTCATCTTGGACATCCACATTACTACAACGAATATTTTGGAACCAAGTGTGTACTTTTTTTTTTGATTGAAGCTGACAGCATCCGACAAATACTGTCGATGTTGTGGGTGACTTCAGTAGCGCAATGGCAGAGTTTGAACTCGCGAAGCGCAGCATATCGTATTTATTCACCTTTGCTTTGATAAAGACAAAACATAAATGTAATCTAACAATTCAAACACGTAACAGTGGAGTTACATATAATGAAAATATAAATGTACACATAAAGAAAAAGTAATGACACTTCGACGTGAAGTAATGATTAGCAAACTTGTTTCACTCGATCAATTACGACTATTTCGATCATCACTAGGTGTTCCACACTTTCTGCTTTGTGCTGCATCTAAGCTAAGGTTAGGAAATTACTATAAAGGGAAACGAACAATGTGTGTCCAGTATCAATATGAATGATATTCTTGTACTGTTTCCAGTACTTCAGTTCCATCAGATTTGTTGATTGTTGACATTTAAACTCAGATAAAATGCACATTAGTTTAAGGGACTGATATATAAATTTTATTGATTATAACTCTCTCATGACGCTACAAACTTTTATCAGGTAAATCTTAAAACAAGTTCCAATTATTGTCTATATTTCTGAGATGAAGTATTCTAACTATTACATTATTAACATTGTTAGGGCTGTTGTCCTTATCTTTATCGTCATAATCACGATGTTTCGGACGTTGTAATCTCCGGCCTTCTTCAGGTGTCATACCTTGTTATTTCGAACCCAAGGACACATGGTCCAGTGGATAAAAGCGTTGGTTGGGGTAATCCAAAATTGGCTTGGCCGAAAGACTTGTGAGTTCAATACCTTGCCACAGCAGAGGTGAATAAATACTTGGGGTACTGAATTACTAAATAGATTTAACTAAAACTGAGATATCCAGAAAAGGCATGACATGTGGAACTAGAGCAATCTACTCCCCTGGACTAAAGAAAAAGTTCGGTTCGAAATTACAATATGTATCACCTGAAGAAGACCGGGGCGTACAATGGCCGAAACGTTGTGAATGTGACAATAAAGATGGGGACATCAGCCCAAACGATGTAAATAGTATAAATAATTTTTAATATATTGTGACCTCACCAAAAACTCAGTAATTACCCGTAATCCTATGTTATGTATGAGATCAGAATTAAAATTTATGAAAGCAAGTATCTTATTGTAACTAGCAAAACCTCCCACGTTAGCAGAGGAGGCAAAGGCAGGAAATGCCAGTCGCTCTTACTGATGATTATTTCTCATTATCCCCCCCTATTGGGCTGCAGGTAAAAATTCTTCGAATGCGGTTTCTATATTATTTTTTACTCCATCAAAATCAAACTGCCACGAAATTGTAAAACGTCAGCAAAAGTAAATTTTCTTCAGTGAATAAACATATGTGCATATATCAACAAAAGTGAAATTGTTTATAATAATAATAAAAAAATAGTTATCATTATTCCTGGCACGGATAAACATTTATTTCAAATTATTACATTAAATTACAATTATTACAATAGAGTAAAGAATAGGTTAAATATACCTAACTTATTGATTAATTAGGTATATTTTAATACTTGTATAACTATAAGAGAATGGAACACAGGATAGGTTGCAGTAGTAAGTTTGTCTAATATCGTTGGTTTCTACAAAAGAAAAATATTAACCTAAAACCTTGGGCCGAAACAGCCCAAGTTATATTTTGACCCTCATATGAATGCCATGCAGTAAATATTTAAACTATCATCTATATGCAAGTATTTGCTTATGAAATAATACAAAGTTTAGGAGCCCTCCATTAGTATTAGAAAGAGCGATAACTGTTGGTAGACTTTAGAATGTAAGTCCCTGATAAGCTATTTTAAAAAAAAAAACAAAAGCAAAAAATGACACTAACGTTGTTCGGTCAATGTATGCCGAATATTTCTTATATGTAAAAGCTTTTCTTACCGTTATATGCAAGAATACAATAAACTGTATAAACCAAAAAGTCATTCCAAAACCAAATGTTGAAATTTCGCAATTCCTATATCTATATATGCTCTGTTTTTATCTGTGTTTGTAAACTCGTATCCGGCTGATGAGCTTTCCATTTACTCCGGTGTAGGTCGGCCTGGCTGCATTGGTGGGTTTCCGAATCTTTCTGAATGTCCATGTCACTGAACACATCGATGAACAGCAACAATCCGATATCACCGGAATCGATGAATCGGGGCATTAATGCGAGTTTTTGGTACTATTAACTTTATGCATGAGACAATGCCTTTGAAAATCGTTGCCGTAATCAGTGAATACTTCAATGAGTTTCAACAATTCTCTGTTTTATCGTGTTTCAGCATCCTAGTCACCGATGTCCGAACTAAGCTTCTTTCAGTTTAAGGTTGGAATTTCTAAGCAAGCAATACTTCAGGAACTGAGTTAACCGGTTTACACTAAATGTGTAATCTAATGTGCTAACATTAGTGAGAGGTGACAGTTGTAATAACCGAACGAAATGAAGATTCAAGGGAATCATCCCCATTGGATCGGTAATAGTTAAATATTATGAAAACATTGTCTATTCCAATTCTTTTTTTTTCAAGGTCATGTTTAGTATGCGATTTCCAGAAAATAATAAAATTCATTGTCATATCTTCTATATTATGAGACACTGTAACATTTCTCTAACAACTGATACTGTTTGATTTCTAAGCTTAGCAACTTATTACACACTTCTCTTAATTTAGGAAATAACATTTTGAAAAATATATCATTTGAACTGTCTCTTGATTCTAGTTGAGAAATGGAATGAGCGTAAGATCAATCAACCAAGATAAGGGATATTGTCAGTTATAACAATGGTAATAATAGTTATTATTCCTGTGAAAACAATGACAAATTGATTACATCCAAAGTGAATAATAAGGATAATAATTCTTTATTGTATTAATATCCCTATTAAATGAAATAACAAATTCACTGGCTATAAGATATATGATAAATTATTTAATAATTTATTCTACAAAGAAGACTGTTTTTCATAAGGTGATAAGTAATTAATTAGACAATAAAAGAATTCATATATGATGAAATCGTTATGTCAAAGAAATTCTGCTATGGCAAGATTCAGATCTAGTACTAGAATTGATATGAAATTTGACAATGGAATTCTGATTCGTGAACAAGAAAAAAAATATCTTGGTACAAATGTAGAACAAGCAACCCACCATGCAAAAATGAAAGAAAAATTTAAGAAGAATCTTTTAGGCGAGTAATGTTGACAAATAAAACTGAATTAAATACAAATTCAAAATATCCACTCTATGTTATTACATACATTTTAAATGTGATAATCTAGAATAGATTGGCAGAATATATAGAAGGATTAGAAAATTTCTTAGCATATATAACAGATTCAATGTAAATACATTAGGCAAACTAATACACGCATCCAAGTCTACAACCATAAGTCGAAAAAGATATCTTGAATTAACTAATAATTGGGAAACAAGATTTCGCATTCATCAAAATCTTGTTTATCAGTATGAATCCAACAAAAAGCTAGATTCCATAATGAAAGAAAGCCGACAATTCAAATAGAATTTAAACTCATGCACACAAGACAATGATACCAAAAGTAGAGGCCAAAAACATCAAAATTCAAAATGTAAGTATCTGACCAATCAGAGAACCAAATGAAAAAAAAAGCCTTTTGTCACGCGTGCGACAAAAGAAATAAGATAAAGAAAGACAAATGGAACGATAGAAAGACCAACTGAGTTTTATAGTAAACAACAAAAAATGGTTTTATAATTTTAGTTGTTATGGTCAGGGACTAAAAAGGAAAAGAAAAAGGCTTATTAGTAGGAAGTTAGAAATACCTAAAATAACTTCAATCTGGTGTTGTTGGAGTTTTTGTAGTATAGTTTACTTATCAGGTGAGCGAAGAGTAGTAAACAAACTAAAACGGGCTGCATTGAAGTAGATTTTGGTAACAACTGACTTTGCCATTCAACAATTCTTAATTTTGCTGCCAACCAATTCCCGGAAGAAAGGTATTCATTTTAAGGTCATTTGACCACATCAAATGACCCAGAACTCGGAAAGGTATCATTCACAAAAAAGATTATCTTAACACTTTCCTTTACCGATATCAACTGCGAGTAGAAGACACTGATATGAACAAATTAACTAATTGTGATTGCAGAAGTCTGGATTGAAACCCGGAACAAAGGAATTCATTCAGGCTGCTTGAGATGAAAACGTGCCAACAACGCATACGTTTTAAAGAATAGAACCGATCGAAAGCGTCGTTTTATTACAAACTCTGAAGAAACTGTTGACCATCTGTGTGCTCTGTTCTACCCTAAAATGAATTTAAATATAGATATGATAGGTTGATTGATTTTATCGGCTTATCAACCTTATATAGGATATTTAAAGCCAGAAATTGTTTTAGATTACAGAAAGTTTTTAGATAATAATAATTTACTGATACAAGTCCTACTAATTAACTTATAACTGGGGGATAATAGCTGTATTTATACTATTCTGAACGGCATTTATTATAACGAACTCGACTAGCGCAGGAATCCGACATTCCAATTTCGAGTCTCCCGCACATCCAGGTATACATCATCTGGTATTCCCAAGCGGTCACCCATCTACCTACTGACCAGGCTCGACGTTGCTTAACTTCGGTGATCGTACGAGAACGGTTATTTCAAAGTGATATGACAGTAAGCTTAAATATAGGAATGATAGTGGATAGCTGATACAGAAAGAAATCTAGAAAAATCTCCTACAGAATGTAGTGAAGGAAAGTGAGAAGAAAGGCTTAAACACTAACTGCAAGAAGACAGAAGGTATGATTATTAAAGGAGGTATGAACCCAAAGTCCGAATTGCGAATCGAGGATTCCAAAATAAAACAAGTGTGGAAATTTAAATTTAATAGGGGACGGGAAGTGTGACAGTGAAATCTGAAGGCATCTTGGGATAGCCAAGGAGGCATTCCAAAAGCTAATCAGAATATTAAGGAATAGAAAAAAACAAGGAATGGAGTATTAAACTGTTACGTGATATCTGTCTTCCTGTATGGCAATGAGTACTGGGCGATCTCCTCAAAGATGAAGGAGAGACTTGAAGCAACAGAAATGTGGTTCTACAGAATGATGCTGAGGATACTGTAGACCGAACGTGTGAGTAACAATGAAGTTTCAGAGAAAATAGAAGCAAAAAGGAAGCTAATACTTAACATTGGGAACACACAGTTGGGGTTTGAGAAGGGAAGGACTGGAAAATAATCCGATACTCATAGACCAGATTGAAGGCAAGAGGAACAGAGGAAAACAACGCATAAAATAGTGAGTTTAAGTAAATGGATGTCGGAATAGGGCTTAGGAGAAATAATGAAAAGACATGATTTTTACAGGAAAGCCATGAGAGCCTACCTCTTGACGGGACACGGCACATACAGAAGAAGTGTAAGGGAATACTTACGTTGGAAAATATAACCTTCCTTATACCGAGAAATAGTATGAATCCAAACCATTGCTCGTGTTGGAAGCTGAAAATATTACAGTTCCTTATATATGTCGACCGACCTATACATGGCAACAGTTCAGATATGAAAATAAAAGATTTCAAAAACAACTTCTATCTTATAGACATGGTTATCCTTTGTGATGGATAAACATATATGCAAAAGAATTTGAAAAAAATCTCAAAATATAAAGAACTGGATGTAGAAATTGAAATAATGTGGCCGTTAAACAAAACCAAAATTTCAATAATATGAGAACTAGGAACCATTAAAACGAACACTGAAACATACATTAAGAATTTCCCAGAAAGTCCATAACTATCTCAGATAGTGTCTATGAGCTTGCTCACTTAGAAAAACTCAATAAAATATGGCGCTGGGACTTTCTAAAAAATCTTCCTTCACTTCAGTTCTCATGCAAAAGATGTGGTGAAGGATTGTATCAAAACATAATGGTGAAAGCTGGAAAAATATAATAAATGCTTTTTCATGCATTATACTCGGGAACAAGAAAAATCTTTCATTTACCCTTGATTTCAGCTCAAAGATTTGGTGAATGATGATATTAAACCAGATCTTAATAATCACTTGGAAAATAAGTCACTGAATTAATGGTAATTTTCTTATTCTGTCGGCTAAAGTTATTGTTGCTTTTCCAGTCCGAGATATCTATATCATCAACATCATCAGTCCTAGGACTGCTTCAATCATCAAGGTGGCTGAGGGGAGGAGAAACAGAGTTCGATACTCCTTCTTTACGGTGGCCTTTCAGACAGCTTGGCGGCGACCATCTCCCCTTCAAGCACTTGACCAACAACCGAAGATTACGGAATATGGTCTGGATCGCCCTTGGAAGATCACAGAAGAAGGTCTGGGTTGCACTAAGCCCACAGGTTTTGTCCTTCTCATAGCACGGTTGACACACGAGGCTATAGGACCCAGTCTGTCTTGCTATTTTCCCCATAGCTGGATTGGGGCGAGAGAAAAAATGGATTCATATCTATATAGAGACTGTCAGAATACAAATGTCATCGGACAGTGGACTTGTCTGCATCAAAATTTTACTCAGCAGTTTCTTCCGTTTTCAACTTCAAAAGGTGGAGATACAAACAAATCCGCTCTCATGCCAAAGTCGTTTTAATAACTCGTTAGCAATGTGCAACTATTTATTGAATAACATTTCTGGCTGACCTCTAGAAATTTTTCTTTTCTTATCACTGAATCTAGTTTACTAACAGTAATACAATTTATCCCATTCGTTCTTCATTAGTTCCTCACGCTGTGCCACGTTTGGGAGCAGGAGAACAATGGATCATTTATGGAATCTGTCTTCAGTAAGAATACACAGTACATCGTTATTTGACCCTGTAAATGCAATCGGAATGGAAAATGCATTAAGAAATAAAGATATGAAAAACTTAAGTAGACACACGTAAATTTTGAAGTAAGCAAATTCTTGTTCATTATACATATATATTATATATGACATACACGTACCCAATTTTATGGTACCGATTTCAAATACACACGCATATGTATGCGTTTATTACATGAGTTTGTATTAATGTATTCTTATATACGTGCACATAAACACGTATTTTTATGAAAATGTCATTGTAAATATACGATATTGTTAAATGTTTTTGAGAGTTTATATTTATCTTCAGCGCTGGAGATAAAAAAGATACAAATTTTATGAAAGACTTATTGATACGTTGTCAAATAAGGATTTTGTTTCATAATCATTTCATTAAAGCCACTAACATATTACTAAGTGTAAAAAATATGGAAAAAGCTAAAACATTATTAAGGAGAGAGAAGAATAAAAGAACAGGAATTAAGAATATAACAATTAACATTGCATTTAAACATCACCAAAGCAGATCTAAATATGCAATATTCAAATTCACGAATGGTTGACATAAATGTCTAAGATAAATTCAATCGAGAAAAATTGTCTGGCACGACACTGTGAACAAAGAATCCTAGCAATAGACCTAGCAGTTGATTCAGTAGAATCTTTCTACGTCATGTCAGAAGAAAACGGTCGTCCAAGAAGGAGCAATGAGTCACTTTCCTTCAGGTTAGCATCAGTCATGCCGATGGAAGACAAAAAAATGTTCTTTCAGACGAGAGCAGTTTTGTTTTGGAGGTGTTAAAATTAACAAGACATTTCTTGTCCCATTTAACAAAAACAGGGATAAATAGTTGTACCATCAGCATAGATGTTGAATCAAGAGCTAATGCCATCAAGAAGGTCGTTGATGAAAACTAGGAACAACTTATGCACAAGGATAGAAACCTAGAGAACATCTACATTAATTCAAAAAGATCTAGAAGAGTGGCCGTTCAAGACAACTTTCATTTAATAATAATAATAATAATAATAATAATAAAACTGGAACACACCAAAGGGTCGCCCAGAAATACCATAACCTTTCAATTTGTGAAGCAGACCACAATACCAAACCCTGCCAAACGCCTTCGAGGTATCCAAAGCAACAGCTCATGCTTCATTCTTCTGAGCTTTTATAGACTCTTTCAGCAATAATCATTAATATTTCAGCAGTTGGCTTAGAGAAGCTATTGTATGTAATTAGGTTAATATTAGTAACAACAGAACACACAGACTGGAATTAATTATATTTAAAAGGTAACTAAGAAAGCATTTAATATACAGATGTAAAACTTATGCTTTTTATATTCCAGTCGCGGTAAACACAGATACTACGAATCACGGCAGATCGATATTGGAACTCTGGTATTGTACTCAGTTGGGGTTCGACATGCTAAATAGTAAGACAAAATATATCTTTTGTTTTTTTTTTCAGGAAATGAGTTTAAACTCCAAGGTTAGGTTCAAAATCGTAGCGTTGGAATTTTATTCCGGTGATCAGAGAAAGCCTTATAGCACGACATTATATAATTTATAATTTACTGTAGCTTTACAAATTGTATATGCACAAGATGCACGGTACAATAACATTATTTCTAAATCATTATGTCATCAAATAAGTACTTCATTTGCTTCAAAGTGGAATTATACTGAACAATTTAGCTATATTATGATGTAATATGCTATACAGTTCAGTAGTTATGATGTGATTTCCAATAAACAATGCAAATTTTAAAACATTTTGTCTTATGCGTGCACAACAGTATTATGGTTTTATATACACATTTATCTATTTTTTGTTTTTATTAATTATGATCTAATAAATTATCTCACAATTTTTTTCATTGAATAGCCTTTTACATAACACAGTTTATACTTATCGAAACAAGTGCATATTTTACTCATTTTGATTTATAATTAGAATTTTAGTTTGAATATATTTTCCATTCAATGTATCTAATATAAGATATATCAACTTCATTTGGATTTATTTTGTAGCAAAAATCTCCGAAAATTAGGTATTTTTGTACATTTTTCAGATGATCTTTAAACATAAAAGCTCAAAAATTGATAAAAGATATGAATCAAATTTGAACATCTTAAACCCCAGTTTTCACACTGAGTGCAATTTTGATTTTCTAAATAAAGTAAAAATTAACCTACGCACCAAATCTACGCACACATCACACAAGAACACGCCTAGAAATATGTTATGACAATTCTTTTTGTAAAAGATGAATATTTTTAGATAATTCTTAAAGTTGGGATTATATATTTTTGAATTATGTCAATAAATGGTTAAGATGGAAGAGACATTTTAATCTTTACTGTTTACTCATACAAAGGTTCATCGAAGTCGGCTAGCATCACTTTTCATTAGAGCAAATGAAATCTCTTTTCTGGCTGGGCTTAATGAAAAGACGACAGCACGGCAAGTAAAATATTTTATTTTAATCTTTAACAAATCTAATTTGAAACATGTGCAGCTTGAAGTAAAAAAATGTTTATTTAAATTATAAAACTTTAAACAATTCATGCCAACCATTTCACTTTTTATATGGTGGTCATTTGTAAGTAAAAAAAACAACAAAAAAAACTATAATTAATACGTAATTTTTATGTTAACTCATATAAGTAATCCGGGAGTTTACAATAGACATTTATATGCTTTAAAAAAGCGTTTGTGAACTGAAAATGAAAATCGGCCACATTACATGTAGTATGGCTTAGAACAAACGTCGCGTCTGTAAACTTAGGTTTATTCATGTCAGTTTATGTTATGTTAGATGGAATCATTAGC